GCCCCAGAGGAAAGGGAAGTAAATCTATCTGGACAACTTAAAACAGGCTCATCTATTTCTTAAGATGTGCCTTGTCTTTTTAATTTCACTTCTATTAGGACCCCTGGTAATGTAAATGCTTGACATGGATATTTAATAGAGTATTTACAGTAATGGGACATGATGGCTAATGATTATCTGCTTGAAACAATAAGCATTGTTTCCCTTATATTCCTCCAAGGCTACATTAGGGTAATAAAGGATTTTGTAAAGTGTATTAAATTAACCATTTACACTGCTGGCATGAGACTGCATATTTATTCAGATGTAAGAAATATTTATTCTAGCCTGCTTACCCATGGTTTTCGTAACTGTAGTTTACTCAACCCAATTTTTCAGGGTTCACCTAAAACCATAATCTAACCTCACAGATTTGCACAATATACTAGACTAAAATGTGGTTGACCAGTTTGGGGTGCAGTGTGTCACAAATGTGGCTTCTGGGGGATTTCACTTTAAGCAAGTAAACCTAGGTTTGCATCAGGACCAGTTTATAAATGGACCGACAGAATCAAGCTAACAAAGAGCTTTTTTCTGTGGTTGCAAATTTATTATAGCCATGTTTGCAAGACATACTTATCCAGGTCATTTAAAGAGCTAGTAGGCTCATGTGTATAACATACAATGCTTGGCTTGGTCTAACTTTTTTTTAGCTTTCAGTGTTATTAACTTATGGTTCAATGGACCGAATAAATCCATAATGGATGAATTCAGACACTAGGTTAAGTGTGTTCAATAATTAATTTCTCCTTTCAGTGCAGTATTAAGATAGTAATGTGATAAAATGCAACTATGGAAAAATATCTATTAAAATAAAGGTGTTCTAACAAGTTCTAGATTCTAGGAGAAGTCTAGGTAACTGAAGCAGAACACCAGGCATTTGGTAGTTGACTTAACTGAAAGTAATGTTTTCAAGCAACTTTATCACTGACAGGATTTATTGAGATGAAATAATAGGATTACAAGCACTTCAGCAGCTGAATTATTTCCCATTTAGCACCAATTTATCTTAAAATACATTCTGGTGGAGACTCGTTCAGATTCTTTCTAACACATTTCTTGGGATCTGACAAGGAGGTGATTTTTTTCGTAGATAACAGAGAAGCTTTCAGATGACTGTTTACAAAGTCATCTCCTAAATCCTTATCAGCCTGTGAACCAACCATTGCAATGAAGTTTTGCTTTAGAAAAAGGTTGTTCTACAGTATAATAGAGCAACATACTGTAGAAATACTATTATAATAAAATAAAGAGAAATTAAAGTTATAGCCTGGAATTTATGTTAGAGTTGATTCTGCTTGCTTTTTAATGCTGATATTTCATGCTTTTCTGTCTTTTATTTCTCTGTAAAACTTATTTAACTTCATACTGAACATGCAACTTCTATCCCATAAAAGTTCCCATAGGCAGAGCAGAGTTCCATAAAATACATTTTCCTCTATAGAACATTCCTGTGATTGCTAGTATGAATTTGGAATTCCATCTCATCTCTTTATGGAGCAAAACAATACCATCCTACTGCTATGTCTTTCAGATTTTTCTGCTTTTTCCTTGAACTGGACTGGTCTCTTTTTTTAAATCTCAAACACGGAATATTTCCTTTTTAGTATTGTTTTTAAAAGGTTTTGTCTTTTAGTCTTTCTTTTCTTTTTAATTTTGTATATCTCTCATGAGATTGAACTATCACATAAGGCAGGAAAAAAGGCTAAATCCTCTAAATACTATGCCTTTATACTACAATGTCACTACTGAAATTACTTTAATTTTTGCTCTTTGTTTTCATTGCCAGAAAGGTAGCATGGTTTATGAAAGTCTCATTTCTCTCAGCAATATCGTTAATGTGGATGTCAAATCAACTGCTCCCTGGGAACTGGGTGATGGCAGCAAAAATTAACAAGCTGCTATCACAAAACAGGAGATGGGGGCAGGATGTAAAAAGGCCAGAAGGCTTTTTGGAGAAGAGTTGAGGCTTCCAGCTTTCCATCCTATTGGCTCAGCCATTTACGATGTGGATCTTAAGATATTTTTAGAAGTGGAGCTTCCATGATATTTTAGTGAAAATATGACTGCTTGTGACTACATTTTATTCTGTGTGTTATTCAGCAATGGCATGGAAATTCTGAGAGCGCTTATTTTAAAATGCTGATGATATCATCTTTATGCAGATGACATCTAGACTTAATCCACTTGAATGGTGCATGTTTTAAATTGGTANAATCTCTAAGAGCACCCCCATCAACACTGACAGGACAAGCCATTAGAATATAAACTGAAGGCAAACAGCACTCCTTACTAGCCTTGATGATGTCACCTAGTTTGGATAATGATACATCTGCAAGAAAACAAGCAAGCTCAGAGAGCACTAAGCCTCCTAATCAGTGGTGGGTTTCAAATAATTTACCAACCTGTTCTCTGCCCTAGTGACCAGCAGGGTAGGTGGGGCTTGGTGGTCATGTTACTGGGTGGGCATGGCCAACTCAATATCACTCATGTTGATGGACGCTTCGCCTTAGCTGTTACAATGTAATCAGGGTTAACCAGAGAGGCAGTTTCTGTAAGCAATAAAGATTAGGCTAGAAACAACACCAGAATGTTTTCTTCCTGCCTTCCTTATAGGATTAGCCCTATAAAGTGAAAAACAAAAACAAAACGAGATTTCTTCCAACAACCGGTTCTCACAACTGCTTAGAAAGTTACCAACCGGTTCTCCCGAATAGGTGCGAACTGGCTGAATCCCACCACTGCTCCTAATATACATATACAGGTGTCTAACTCTGCACATCTAAATGTCCCCCTTTTCAATTGTGTGACTTAAGAACTTTTTTTTAAAAAAAGCTACCATTTGAACTTATTCTGGTGTAGAACAAGTGGATGAATCTGTTGGAAACCTATAGATTAAAAAATAAATATAGGAATGTACAGGTGTGATTTGAGGAAGTGACTCATTCTTTTCCAATATCGGATTCTCCGTCCTTATCTAGAAACGTATACATACTACCTAAATTTTACGTATAAGCAAAACTATAACTGCACAACAACATTGTGGGAGGAGAACCAGGTACCAAAACTCAGGAACGTGAGAGTCACACTGTCAAGATAACAGTGGCAGTGGGGCTGCAAAATTCTGGATGATGCCTACATGGCAGCAGAAATAAAGAAATGCTGTTTGCTATGCATCTTTTGCAGCACAAATCTGTGAAACCGTGACTCTTCCGTTGGGCACTGGGACTGAATGTTGAGGGGTTGATGGAATGGATGTGGTTTGTATCCTTAAAATCAGCATAAAATTGAGACCAGAAGTTTTTCTTTTATGATTACTGGATAAAGAGTTGGGAAAAAAAGTTTTGGAGCTTTATTACTATATATGTTAACTGCACCAAAAATTGAATATGCACAGAAATGGAGAGAGACATCAATCCCCACAATGGAACACTGGATGGAAAAAGTGTCAGAACTAACAGAGATGGCAAAAATGATATTTTAATCAGATAAAAAATATATCCAGTTTTATTTCTACATGGAAATCACTTCTGGGTTTTGTGCTTGAGACATAAAAATGAAATTTGGACTTTGGGGTTTTTCCTGATTAAACTAGTTTGTTATGGATCTGGCTAGTATTCGTTAGAATGATACAATAAAAAAAATTGAGGCTGTAATTCTAGTTTATATTTACATTTGCATTTTACTGCACTGAAAAAAGTTGGAAGTCAGTACTTTTTTTTCTTGTCCTATTTTATTCCTCATTTTTTTCTTTCTTTCCCACTTTCATATCATTTTTATTTGTATTTTACGTTCTTAATAATAAAAAGGGAATGGATGTGGTTTGTTCAATGAGCTATATAGTATAATGTAATTTTTAGGAGCCTCAATTCACTTTCTTTTTAATGGATGCATACAAGTTTTTTGTTGTTTTTATTTTAGAGTCCCTTGGGTAGATAGGCAGCCATATATATTTATTAAACGAACAAATACACAAACAACCCTAAGATCATATTCCCAACTCCATTTGAGGCCTAGCTGGAAGCAACCTCAGAATAAGAGAAGTAGCAGAAAATAAGAAGATGGCTTTAGGAGTCACTGAATGGTTGATTTGGATTAAATGGGGTAGACTGGGAGGGTAAAATGTTCCATGAATGAGAAATGAAGATGTACTAAGTTAGACAAAGAGGTTTGTGAGCATTCTCAGGAAAGATCAGGTTGGCACAATCTCATCCCCAGTTCTAAATAATGTTTGCTTTGTCTTTTACTCTGTTGTAATTCTTTTGCCTCCCTGGTTTAAACTAGTCTAAGAGCCCTGATGGGCATTTATAAATATAAATATCTTTAATGAATAACTAAAGCCTGCATGTTGTTTTCCATTGCCCAGGATCAACTACATTTCCTTTACTCTATGTAGTCATATGTAAGAAATTAAGGTCAAGGCCTTTTTGTTTCAGAGTATTTTTGTCTGCATTTTACTCCCTCTAATATTGTAAAGACAATGACATCAAGGCCTGGAATGCCTATGTGTATCCTGTGAGCAGAGTTTGTCAGTACATTCCCTGCGCCTCCCAGTTGGTGAGATGCAACAATGGCCTGCAAGGTCATGCTTAGATCAGAGATTCTACTGGACTTCAGTTGTTCTTGAGGTATACTAATCAAAAGGTACCAAAAATGATAAGGGAATTCCTTATGATTAGAAAGGAATTCTGCATGTGAAGCTTGCTTATTAAAAAGTGTTATTGAAAGCCTCAATTAATCAAAGCCACAAGATAGCAATAGCAATAGCAGTTAGACTTATATACCGCTTCATAGGGCTTTCAGCCCTCTCTAAGCGGTTTACAGAGTCAGCATATTGCCCCCACAGTCTNCTTTTCCTTCTCGGCTCTCGGGCTCCGGCAGTCTCCGGCGCTAGAAGCTGGGTGGAGCCCTCGCGTGCAGAACTTCGGGGGGAAATGCGCGGCGGCGTCGTCCAGCTGAAGAGCGAGGCGCGCTTGAGGGCGGGCGAGCGAGCCGGCTTCTGGAGCCTCCCTTAGGCAGCTGGACACGCGCGGCCTCGGAAAGGCTGCGGGGCTCGGGACAAAAAGCCCAGGGAGTTTGAAAGAACTTCTGGCGGGGCCGCTAGTGCTGCCCAGCCCGGCAAGTGAGGGGCTATGCAGCGCGCTGGAGCCCTTTTCGCTGGCTTGGGAATGTGGTGGTGGCTCAGCTGGGACCTCGTCGCCGTCTGCGGGGCTGCCAAGGGCCACGTACCTCGCCTCCGCCTCTCCTATAAAGGTAAAGGGAGACGCCTTTGCAGATCCTTTTAAGCCTTTTTCTGATTTGATATATATATATATATTTTGGCCGTCGGTTGAGCCTCGGCGATAGGGACGCTGATGATTCCATTTCGCAGACGGGGAACTGAGGCCGAGCAAGCGAAACTGGAGGGATCCAGAGGCACATCGACGGGTGGGATCCTCCACTTGCTTCCCAATTCCAAAATTGCCTTCGCCTTTTTAAAATCTGTGCTTCTGCACGTGCGTTTGGGTGAATCCCTTTATAGTTTTATCTCTATAATCTTTGGGGATCTTTTTTTATCTAATCTTGGTTCTCTCCCTTTTTGTGGTGCGTTGATTAAATCCGGAGGTCAGTGTGTGTGTGTGTGTGTGTGTGTGCGCGCACGAACGAGATAGTTGCAAGGACTAGCAGCGTTAGAACAGCCAGGCTACTTCATTCTGCACTTGCTAGATTCATTGCAAGTCCCTAAATCTCAAAGAGAGATCTTTGGACTAAGATCCACATTCTTTAACGAGGTGGAGGTTACTAAAATCCTTTGAACTGCTTTAAATTGTGACTCATTTTCTCTTGGGCAGTTTATATCACGGTAAGGGGTAAATGAAGAACAGCGAGATAGATAAGGAAAAAAATATATATCTAAGAATGGCAGGCAGGAGATTTTGGCTCCAGCACTGTGCACGTGTTTGCTCAAGGGGGCAAAAGTTATGTGTTTGAAATAGTGTGTATGGGATGCTTTTTGAATGTGGGGAGTGTTGAATTGCATGCAATTGAGAGATATCAGAATTTGCACTGTACATTTCTTCAAGGAAGTTTTCGAGCAATAGACATATAACATAATCAACCCAGAAAAAAAGCATGTCAAACAAGCATGCAAATCAGTTACCAACTGATGGAAAAGCAAAATCATTTGGTGGTGCCATGCCTTGATTCCCTTGACAGCAACTTGATGCATCAAAATCAACAAGTGTCCTTTATTTTATCAGCATGCAGGCAAGAAAACTAAGTACTTTACACATTAGATTTTTGTAAAAGTTGTCAGCCCTGGAGCTAAATACAGATAGATTCCATTTGTCTTTCCTGAAATTTTACCACTAGAGGGTAAGGGGGGGGGGAAACTAATTTTATTTCTGATTGAGCGATATAACAAGAACTCATAAAGTTTTCTCTCACATGGTCCTGTGAACAATGCCTGTATTTATGCAGCCCCACCTAAGGGCAGTTCATATTTAATAGGGTCTCTATCCACAATCTCAAGAACATACTAGTTATTGTAGCTTTGCGGCTGAGTGGCATTTGCCTGGAAAAAACAGGTTTACAGGAATCACCAACACAATGAAGTCTTTAGCTCCAGGATGTGCTTTTTGTGACAAATCACTGAGCAACTTTCACTGAAGTTACCTACAATTTCCAGTTTCATTTTCCTACTTGCTTTGCTATCTTCACCCATTATATTCTGCAATGTGTTGTGCTATTATTTTATTGCTTTTTCTGATTTGCAGAGGAATTTTTATTGCTTTTCAATTGTCTAAAACAGTAGTTCTCAACCTTTCCTTTGCCACGAAACCCCTTTAAGTACTTTTTGTGTCCACGGAGTAGGGCCACCAACCTCCTAGACTTAACTCAAGTTTCAAATCATAACATTTCTTCAAGCTTTCATGGACCCCCTGTGATGACATCTCCCCATCCCCAGGGTCCGTAGACCACAGGTTGAGAACCATGGGTTTAATACATTCTCCCTTTATTATTTAAGTTATAATTTTTTGAAAAAAGAATTATTACTTGCACCACTACCAAATTGTATGATGCTTCTTCATGAAAGTTATATGCTGATAAGGGAAAATTGAAGACAACTTGTGAGAAGTTAAACCAATGGCTCTGCTTTCACCAATAAATGATAAAGTCAGTGAGGGGTCCTTGATGCTCTCTGAGCTTGGATGTTTTTTTGCAGATGTTTGTTAGCACTGTTAGTTTGGGTAATGAAATGTCTGCAAGAGAACAAGGACCCCTCATTTCAACAGTGAACTACAAATATTCTCCTTTATTGGTATCATCTACAAACTACTGACTTCCTCAGAGGTCAGGCAGTCTTGCATGATCTGAACAACTCCAGGATAGAACATGGGACCTTCTGTATATGACCTTTGTGGGCTATCTTCCTCCCAGCCTTCTGTCTTGACCTGGATTCCCTGGAGAAGGTTGTAACAAGGATCATAAAATAGGTGGGTCTTTTTCCAAGGCTGCATTTCTTTGGGCCAGAGTGGAAGCAGAACGATGGTGTCTGGAGAGGTCATGTGAATGAGAACAAGGTGAAGAATGCTTCAGGTGACTCTGATGCTTGTAGAGTTAGCTGAACTCTCAGGGATCAGATGGACTGAATTACTTGTATTTATCATTACAAATGATGAGTCTGGACCTGTGCCACAACAACTGAGAATCAATCTGAGAGGTTAGGGGGAATTTGCCTATTTAGAATGTCTACTGTGAACATTTGTGTATTGCTTTTCTGTAGGATAAGGAAACACTGTTGGAATGTTTTATATTTAATCATTCACTTGCCAAGTCCTGAAATATTGTTTCTTGCTAAATGCCTAGGGAAGTTGTACTGCCCACTCAGTAGGACAATGATCAGTTGGCAGAACTTGTCTCTATTGACATGGACATTTTTTTTGTGCTTCTGATCATTGGAGATGCTTTTTGATTTCCTAAATTCATTATTCAAGATGCCATCTCCTTAGGCTAGCTCTGAACCCCATAATTCTTGATCTAAGGTCGGGCCTTAGTTAAGAGGATAATCAATGGATGTTGCAGTTGTTCTCAATGGCTCTTCTAGAATAGCAAAATACCTTTCTTTTGTGAAGATATCCTTCAGAGTCGATGTATTGTTCAAATATGAGCACTAGAGAAAGCTGTCAGTGTCCATTAAAGCCTCAGTTGTAATAGTTCGGTAAAATGTTGTTGGAAGTGAGGGCATAATTATTATGTTAGTCCTTTTGTCAATATTGGACTTAAAGGCTGAATAGGGAGCTCTGGTGCTCTGTGACATTACAGAAGATTCCAACAATAAAGAGAAAAACTCAGGAATTTCGATGAATTGGAACACGTGTTACTCAATGTAAGTATTATGTCTAATAAATTTGAGCATTCTTTGAGTGATCCTGGTTTGATGCAGTTTAGGGATGGGGTGGGATGTTCCGAAGACTGCCCAGACTGTTTTGAAGATCTGAGGGTTACAAAGGGTGTGGAGCCGCAACTTACATAAGCTTAGTTGTTTAAGCAGAATTGTTTGGATTGTTCCTTCTTTGTGGTATGTTTAGTTTAGGATTTACAGTATGTTAGTTTTCTTCTGTTTTGCATCACAAAATGGAAATAAACTCTGTATTCCATTTTGAACAGTGATGATCAGATTGCCAGAAAAAGAGCACTTGAGGGCTGCATAAAGGGGATGTGGGGATTTTATAACCTTTCAAACTTAACCGTGTTGTAGAATATGAACATTGGTGGCCATAAGAAATCCAAGAAGCCACCCACTAGGGACCACAACATTGTATTATAGTGAAAAGCAGAAGTTGCTCTTTTGATGGTTTGTTTCCACAGAAGCCAGTAGTAAAATTCACATGTGCTTCTCAGAGGAATACTTATTGGCACTTCTACCCTTGTGAGTCATGTTAAGGTTGACACACACGTTGTACTGAGGTATTGCTGAAGTAGCTGCATCTGCATCTATTTAGACAAATAGTTCACTTTCCAAACAAATGTTTTCTTCTTTGCTCTAAGATGCTGCTCCATGCAAAAATAAACATCATGGCCAGCAAAAAAAGGTAGTGTAACCTCAAATAGGCTAAAGGAAATAGGAAAAATCTTTTTTTAGGAGTAACTGTGGGAGGGCAGGAAATGTAAAACAGAAGAGTTGGGTTGGTGCTGGCTCAGATTGAATAGCTATGGAGATCTTTTTTTTCCAAAGACAGCCCAGGTCCTTCTGGCTAAGATCCATTCTGATGGGATGTTGTAGGCTATGATCTGGGATTCTTGAATCCCAGAAGGGGTATATTTACACAAGGGTCTAAGTTGGATTATTCTAGGAGGAACGCTGTAGGCTACCCATGGGTCTCATCTGAGAAGCTGGGGGGATGTTAGAGCTGCCTTAAAATAATAATGTAGCCAGCCACTTGTCACTATCAATATGTAATATTTCAGTTTTTTAGAAACTTATACTGGGTAGCACAGTAAAGAGTTCTGCAATCAGAGAACATTATAAATCCAAACATATGGATATAGCCAGAAAATGTGTTTGAGAAAGGCTCTTTGTTCTGCACTTTTGGAAAAAAAAAGGCTTATAAAGAACTTTTCTCCCAGTTATTTATAGATTGCATTTCCAAAACATGGTAAACTAGGCCAGTGTTTTATCAGAACTCTAGTTACTTTACTCAGGAAGAAAGCTATTTACCCTTTTCCTACTTATAGTTGGTTGCTGAACATGGCCACTACAAATGGCTCAGGCTCGCCAAGAGAGATAATTAATTTTGAGAATCAAAGTAAAAATAAATGATTGGTTGGATCTGTAGGAATTCCAATGAAAGAACTTTCTACAGCAAGCCACAGAGCTCACAAGTATCCAATATTGACTTGTAGCCTACATTAGGTGTTTTAAAAAAAAAACACCTTAATTTCCCTTTTTTCTTTTATTAAGATTAGGATTAGGTAATGTCTGTGTCTCCTAATCGATCTTGAAATGGGAAATGTGGTATTGTTTGTCTATGTCTTTTTTCCCCTATTTGTATCCCCTATCCCCCCCCCCCCGACTTGGGTTGTGAGCTGCCCTGAGTCCCTTCTGGGAAAAGGGCGGCATAGA